GTCATAAAGGTAAATGAACAGCTGATAAGCAGAAGCTTGGCATGGGTGTCCGTAACAGTGCTGCCAACGTGACACAAACAACAGAATTCTAAACCGATAAGCCCGCGAGGTTTAAATTAAAAATTCCGGTAATTTTTTGATGATGGTAGTATTCACATTACCTTCTTCATCCCAGCTGATTCTGTTGCGAGCAGAAGGGCTCTGCAAATATTGTAGCAGCAATTTCGCTTTGGTACGATAAGTTTTCGCAACCGATTCCAATATTTTATTGACACTTTTCTGCTTTTGTGAACGAAATTTCAACAAATCGCTGCTTTTGGACGCTGTGCTTTGTTCGAGCGTATCAATCGTATCATCAATGTCTTCTAGTTCGTCTTGCTTATCAGCAATATCGTCGGTAACATCTAAGGATGCATCATTGCGATGCTTTAAGCGCTGGTTTTTTATATAACAAACAAAATAAAGATAACGGCGTAGGACTTTTTTGTACAGCTTCCATTTTTCACTCACTTCGATATGCAGGGGAGAATTGAGAATTTGACTCATTTCGTTATCAAGACGTGAGAGAATTGTTTCGGGAGTCCGTACCAAATTAATATTTTCCGGATCAGTTATTGCTGTATCGGGAATCTCAGTTGGCGATGTGTTAAGTGCGAAAACGTTTGGAATTTGAGCCCGCTGCAACTGTTGCAGTTTTTCAAGATTTTAATGTGAAATCAAAACCATCTTTTTTGCTNTCTCCATATTATATTATTTATTAACGGTTATTTACTAATAATTTGCGTTAGCAAGGCTCCAAGTATTGTTGTAATAAGCTGCGGCAAGAACCCGCCGCGTTGCACAAGTAATTTTCTCTTAGATTTCCAATTACCGCGATTTCCGGCAATGCGTCGTAGAATCGATTTATATTTGCCCAAGTGAACTTTCTCTTTTTTTTTCGAAAGGTACGTTACCTTTTAGCGTATTAAAAACACATTCTCGGATACAGCGAATGAATTTTTCGTCGGCAGCTCGTAAGAAAGAAGCCCTCTGATTCTTTTTTAGATAACACAACGCTTTTAAAAGGCACACGTTTCTCTCGCCAATAGAGCGCTTTGCAATTTTTGCCGTTTTATTCCTCGTTTTTTCTAATACCGCTACTTTATTATATCTCTCCATCATTGCGACATTGCAACTGTTATCTCTTGGCGTCGTGCTAGATGTTTTATATCATGCCGCTGACCGATCTCCGGGGTACATAAACATAATGCATGTGATCACTAGGAAAAATACGTGTACGAAATTGATACTTTTCTGGTGTAGATTGTTTCAAATCTAGCAGTAGATAACCATGGGGTTTTGAAGTGGCGTCGTAATATGCTTCTTCTAAAAATTTTGGGTCATCGGGATAGACTTGGCGTGCTAAATGACGAATTTGGGCTCGATCGCGCGGATTTTTAAAGATTACAATATAATTTGTGTTAAGCGATATGTCCCGTTGTCCACGACCCTGATGAAACAGATTTTGCGAAATAAGAATAACGCTAAGATTTTTATGATGACTGCCTTTAGTAAATAGATCGATAATCGTGGCGCACGATGAGGATTCTCTCATCAGATCATTAATTATTACTAATTTTGTACAGTAGGGGTCATTGGAATAATCTTCTGTCCGAAGCAAGCTCTCGCGAAATTCAATTCTAGTTTTTTTCTTTTTTCCACAGTTATCATTGTGCGAATTGACATTGCTTTGCAGCCTACGATATGCTTCTTGCCATTCAGCATAATAAAACAAAATTCTCTCGAAATGCACATTAGCCATTACGGGTAAATATCTNAGCAACGTTTTTACAAAAATCGTTTTTCCGCAGCCTGTAGGTCCGCAGACGATAGATGTCCACGGATGTTTCCAGCGTACATCCATATTAAAGAATGAACGATTTGTCTATATTCATTTGTACATAAAACTTTATCAAAGGGAAGCGAGGAGATAGTAATAAGGCTAACATCATTCTAGCGCTGAATTCAAATACAACGTATGCTCGAAATGACTGTAAAGGATATATTATATACAAATAGCATATATTATATACAAATAGTTTTTTTCGACAGGTAGCGGCTTTCTTTTTTGTCATTTTGTACAATATTTGTAAAAGAAATATCAGAAACTATAGAATCGGTATTGTAAAAGCTAGAAAATAATTAGGAAAAGAAAATCAGAGTTCATATTACTTTTATTGTTTTTTATTGAAAAATACTAAATAATCAAGACGTACAGCGTAGGAGATGGAAAAAGCAAAAATAATTTTTTCTATTATGGCTTACTTAACTAATCTTATAACTAATATTGACAACTAATCTTATAACTAATTTTATTAGATTTTTTCACTTAGACGTAAAAAATATAACAATAAATTTATTTACATAAAGCAGCATACTAGAGAGGATAAGAAAGTGGCATCGCGATTTATTACATAATTATGCTATTAATTACAAGTAATTATGTTAATCTTAAAACTTATAAGATTGCGAAAAGTTTTTATTCCGTTTTGTAGCCATAAGGAACAAAATATCTCTTTTCGATCAATCTTTGCTTTACTAATACCGGAGTGCACGATTTAGTTTCGTCGGTGGTTATAATTTCGTGGAATGCAGTACGTCGAATTGCTCAGTAACGTAGATTTATCGTCGCGTCTATTTCTCGCGTCTCTGTATCGCGATTTGCTTTTTCACTACGTTCGATTAATTGTTTTATGCTATTGAAATTAACCAACTGCGATGTTTCATAATTTGAAGTTACCCCTTTAACTTTACATATTTCGTNAGTATGTCCTTCGGGAGTGCGAACCACATACGCATAAAATTTAGGTCCTCCAGATACAAATGATTCAATATAGCTACCTCGCCCATAACTCTCAAGCTCGTCGGTCATGTCGCCCAAAAAATTTCCCGTAAGCGGCTCATATTCGCAAGGAACGTCGTTGCTCAAATATATACATGAGTCGGTATCGCAGTATAGAACACGTTGATCTAGTTGCTCTAAATATTCATATAATTTTAAACGGGCTTGCGCTGTTGTGTAAGCTGCTATTACGACGTTCGTCAATGGAGAGGGTATGACTGCCTCGCGTCTCAGCCGCCACGAAATGTACATCATGTCATCGTTCACGGGTAACATGTCAATTATTTCATGTTCAAGACTTGCGAGTAACTCCAGGAGCCGCTGACGCGTTTTAACAACCTCTGTATTTGGAAGATTAGAACGCTGCCCGAATTTTTCCCAAAAAGAATTTAAACATAATTTTGCAACCGAGCGTAAACCGGAATTCTTCGCGATATTACTTTTCTCAAGCGTGATACCCTCTGTTTCTTCATATTCTCTTAAGTACCGCTCCTTAGCGACCTCGTCCGTACATTCTCTAGGCCAACCGCTCGCTTCTTGTTAAAGTTGCAAAAATGTATTTATATACTACCATGATCAAAAAATAACCGGAATTTTTACTTTAAATCTCGCGGGCTTATCGGTTTAGAATTCTGTTGTTTGTGTCACGTTGGCAGCACTGTTACGGACACCCATGCCAAGCTTCTGCTTATCAGCTGTTCATTTACCTTTATGACAGTGATTTCTTTACATCAAGTTTTTATGTCGCTTTGATTTTTACAATAGATTCAAAACTTGAACAACGTTCTTGCATTAAATTTTGCTATAAAAATGAAATTAAGTGTTCCGACACATTAAAAATGTTACAAAAGTGTTAT